AATCGGTGATGTGCATGCTGCATGAGAGAGCAGAAGGAGATCTGCGGCACTTGCAACGTCTCCACGCCGCCAATGTGTTTTGCGTGCAAGGGAATTGGCACGTCATCAATGGATAGGCCCGGTCGAATAGGGTCGTTTTGCTCATTTTCATCATGTCACGAGGAGTCTAGGGTCGAGTAGGCCATGCATAGTCTGTGACGGCAGAGATAGACGGGTAGGATGAGGCCACGTGGCCGTTCCCAATGCCAGCCGGCAGAGGAGGCAATACCGCACGGCAGCGGTTCGAGAGTTGGCGCACATCATGGCAAGATTGAAGTCACTACGCACGCACTATTGTTGATCGTTGACTGAGAAATCATTAGCCGCCGCCTGAAGATCAGCACTTGAAATTCAGCCTTTGACCAACTCAGCCTTTCAATGATTGGCTTCTTCATCCAGTAGTCAGTACTTCAACATTTGGGACGCCGGTGCATGTGCTTGAATCATCATGATCGCATCTCGATCGCCGGATGACTTTAAAAGATCCCCATATGCTATATTATAGCAACGGCTGCCGAAGCGGCCGGTCACTCATCGATCACCTTCGGCACAGCTGCGAAACAATAAGCTCTTTTCAAATCGAATTGTTAATGAACATGGCAGGTTTCAATGGCTCAATCGAATGTGAATGCTCAGTGTTGCCAAGGGTGTGGCCCACCACAAGGTCCGACCTTGTACCGTAACTGCGTCGTACACCGGGTCAATGAGGCTTAGCAGCACACATACATAAAGAAACATGCTCTGGAGCTCATAAAACAACTACCCCATGTCGGAGATGCTGCTTTATGATGTCACGTCGCAAGAGCACATGACAGACTTGGCAAAATATGCAGCATGTCATTCTGTCGCCGTGACCACAGAACTTGATGTACTTCCATGATTTCGCCCTAGATTCTCTGCTCTATGACTGCCAGTGCGCTCACATACATGTCAATGCCCGTTGAATATGAAAGAGAACTAAAGAACATACCGTACTGCTGTTTATTTTCGGCAAAAAATAAACAATTATCTGGCCTGCCGAAAATTTCAGAAAATACTTTGAGGCGATAGTGGTTCGATAATGGTTTTCTTAGCAGGTAGCCATTGGTCTGCCGAAAGGTTAGAAAGTTTCATAATTAATTATTCGGCGTCGAAGGTGCCGAAATCAAGTAGCAGTACGGTATTGAGAAGACATCGAAAGCACACCTTTCCCAGCAAGGTTTAAATTGCGCCCATGCACAACACAAAACTGAGCTCTCGTGTCCTACCTTCTACACCAGGTGTCCGGAAGTTCTCTCTTTCTAGTCTCCCGGTAATCTCTTTTCAACAGATCGAATCGAAGGTCTGTCTTGACTGTTTATACAAGTCGGAAGACTTTGACAGCTCAATTGTAGTCGCCCCTTGAGCTATTGATCCGACACATTTAGCGACAAAATTAGCGCTTGCCACGTTATAGGCTTTGAACTGAGTCCGTCTTAGCTGATCACGACCGTAAATTGTTAGGATGGTAAAAATGATTGTCGGAATGGCCTGCGAAAACGTACTTCTTGATGAGCTATCTCCGCTTTGCTCATATTTTTCGTTTTTAGGTTTCATGACCGATTAGATGTGTACTCTTCCCATGCACTTCGTGCTTGGCTTTCCGTTCTTTATTGCACGAAATGTAACTTCGCCTCCGATTCCACAATTGAAAAGTCCCTTCATCCTTCGCGATCAAAAAGTAACAAATTCGTTCTCCAGAGTCTCGGTCCCGCACATGGTTCGCATCCGTGCTGGTGGCATTCAACACCTCCGTCTTTCGCTTGTTGGCCGCACATCATTTGAGCTTTGAGGCTAGTAAAGGAAAGGACTCGACGTCACATGCTCGATTGCTACTGAAGAAGTATGGGAATCCGATACGAGGCAAGACAAGCGAATGAAACCTAATCAACGCGGCTCATAGATGACGAAGAGTGACACGAGCAAACAATCTCAAAACAGAAATACCTGTACCGTAAGCAATGTGCGACGTGGGAGAAACCTTGGCAAAGAGACCCGACCACCACGAGGTCGGGCCGTTCAAGCGGCGGCCGCGTGTTCTTTGCTGATGTGTCGTACATCTTTAGGCAGCTGCTCGACATCCTTGATGGCGGACCAACGCTGCTAACAGCTGGGGTAAAAACGTTCAAAGGACAGCCAGTCGCCTCATAGCAATCTTTATGGTTCTACCGTCCAATCCGCAGGTAGGCTAATGCTGATCTCTACCATCCTGGATTCCGCAAAAAATTGCGGCAACTAAGTGTATCGGCAAAAGTGATTATGTTCCAGCCGAGGGTCGAACCCGCGACGTCAGAGGTGCGGTGCACTAGCCACTAGCTCTCCGCTAGCTCGCTGCACTGTCGGCTTGCGCAAAAATGAGTGTTTTGTACGGGTTTCTCCGGTCTGAGCAAAGGCGGGCCTGCATGGAATTGAGTGGGGCCGTTAGGGGGTTACGGTAAGGTAAGGTAGGCCGGGAACGGTACGCTACTACCATGGGACTCTTGATCTCATCTTGAGGGTGCTCAGACTCATGTCGGAGGGACAACTTCCGAGCCACACTTTTGCCCTTGTAGGTCTTTTCTGGAGCGCGTCTCAAGCTTCCTTGGCATTCTCAGCAGCTAAGATTGCCCCAAGGTGATGTTGCCGGACGTGCAAGCCTATCAAAGTTCTTGCTTCCTTGGTCCTCTCCGCATCACCGGCCGGGTCCGTAACCCCTTTCCGCGGTCCCGGTAGAGTATGTAAGTTCACTAGTTTCAAAATATGACGTCACCGATCGTAACCTCCTGTATCCGGTCCCGTCGACCGATGTATACCGTACGTACCGGTGGTTCAGCCGCAAACCCCGAGACCGCCGCCGCGCGCAATCGATAACCGAGTCGCGGCACTGAACTCGCGGCCGCCTTGATCGTCAACGCGCGCAATTGGCTAGCGCGCAGCTGGCTTGCTTTGCGGTTCCGACATGCACGAAGCGAGGAAAGCATGCTGTGTTGCAGGAGGGCCTGCCTTGCTCGTAACACCAGGATCAGCGGCGTCAGTCCAGCTTACTATTTAGAGTAGAAGGTGAGGGAGGAAGCTAGGCCGCCATGGCGGCAACTGCAGGCCAGAGACATGGGGGCTGTTCCAAGCGGAAGCACCGATTGGATAGTTTAGTATGAAGAGGAGAATACTGTGGTGTTTAAAGGTAGAACACTTGCTTCGATTATGTGATTCAGATTGAGTCACGCTGTCTCGAACCTCTGAAGCTTCTGTGGCGCGCAATTCAACCGGGGCAGACTTCTCAGGTTGATGCATGCCATGCAACCAGTCTCAATCCGGCGTTATGTATCTGAGGTGGCGCCACTAGCAATGCAGCAATAAGATCAGGTGTCTCATTCGTCTCGAGCCTGTCTTGACCAGGTGCTTCTTGATGCCAGCTTGAAGATTCGAGCATGGATTCGTCCGCAGGAGCTGCGGAAGAATCGGGGCAGCAAGCAGCTTGATCTTTCGACGAATTCTTGCAGCAGATTGACCCAGACATTCAGCGCCTGGAGAGGGCTGCTTCGAGCAGCCAAGAAGAGGGTGACAAAGCAGAGGAACTGCATGGAGAGTCCAGCTATCATGGCGGCAATCCGCATAATGCTGGTGGTGCAGGCAAGAAACAGCGTCGAGCTCGGTCTCGTTTCAAGCTCTGTAGATTCACTCCCGGCTGTCAAGAGCTGCTAGGAGTGTCCGCCACGAAGTGTCCCACTTGTAAAAGACCGGGTCGAAAATCTCAGGGGGCGGGGCAAAAAGGAGTGCCTAGAATGCGGAAAGGAGACAAATCAGCAGGCCTACAAATGTAAGACGCCAGGCTGTAGCCACAAATGGGAGTATACTAGCAACAAGTGTCCTACATGTGGGAATGTAGGAAAGGGAACAATCCGAACAGCAGAAACTGTGAGCACTGTGCAAAGGAGGGAAAGCAGGTGGAACTGAGGGGGGCAAGAACAAACAAGAAGCAAACCGAACGGGGAACGAGAGTGAGGCAAGAAAGCAAGCCCAATGCTGAAAAGAGGGGTACTGTGATCAGAGCAATTGCTGAGCACAGTGTTTATTCCGTGTGCGTATATGCTAGCGGGAAGGGGTTTCGCTGTGCGTGTCTTTGGCATAAAGAAGAGGACCGCTCGAAGCTGGTGTGCAATCGGGCAGATTGTTTGAAACTCGCTCATTACAGGAAAGGTTCTGGGCTTGCGAGAGCAGAGGACAGTCGAGAAGGCGTAGAAGCAGGCAAAAAAGAAAGCACTTGGCTCCTGAAAGTACGCTTCTGTTGTGTGAGCATCTGAATCTCGTCGAGGAAGCTCTAGAGATCGAAGAGGAGACGGGCGTTCAGATCGACGGGCCCCTCGCCGTGTTGAAGCTTGGCAAAGAAGCAGCTCTTCTGCAACTCGTCTCTGAGAATCACATCTCGAAGTCCAATGCTGACGAGCTTCTCGAGAGTGCAAACGCTTTTAAGAACACGAGAGAGGCAGCCGGCGGAGAAGCTGAGTGCAAGAGTGGGGCGCTGCAAGACGCTGTAGACGCAGTACCAAACGTCGAGTCTTCATCATCACCCGTTGTGGTTCAAGCCAGACTACAGCTCTCTGGAAAGGCCGGCGCAGAAAAGCAAGAGCCCACTGAGAACTTTTCCATTGAGGCAGAATTGTGTGAAGTGGTTTTGGTGACACCAAGCTACGCGTTGGTCCCCGTCGCGGGCAGGACGTCCGCTGTCGGTTACGGACACGTGTCTTTGGACTCCGAGACGGGCAGCCTGGCGTGCCACGTGGCCAAAGGGCGGCCCTGTAGCGACTTTGCGAAGAAGGAAGCAAAAGGTGCCAAGTACTGCGGGCACACGTCGACGGTGCTCTGGGCTCTCCGCAAGTGCCCCGACGCCGCGCCGCAGCGAGTCCGTTTCTTTGCAGTCGGAGCATCCTCTTTTGACAGCACCATAGCTTCAGCTAGTCTCGGCGCTTCTCCTTCTCTTGCACAGCTTCCTAAGCCCTCCTCTCAGCAGAGCACGAATCAGTGGGATGATCTGGAACGCTCTAAGCGTCTCCAGATCCTTCACCCGTTTCTGACCATGAAATTTCCCCGCGAGCTGCCACGCCCCCTTCTCAGCTACTTAGAATCTCGTCATGTCTGCCTGGACATCTGCCCGAGCCCCTGCCCGTTTACTTGGCCCGCTTTGTTCGCGTCAGAGCTTGACACGTGCTTCTGGTGCCGCCAAGGGCAGCTCATTGAAAGATTGAAAAGAGAACGTGGTTCTGCTTGACGTCATCGGCGCCTTCCATCAGCGCGCCGTTGTCCTTCAAAAGTGTGGACTGTGCAACACGGTCTTCTTTCCAACGGACTGTTCCAAAACTGGCTGTGGTCTAGTCTTCTGCAACAAGTTGCTCCTACGTTTGCGTCTTCTGGTGTGGATCAGAGTCCAGGACGCGTCCGGGACGCCACCGATGACCAACATCCGCACCCTGTACGATCAGATTCAACATCAAGTCCCGGCGGCTTTTAAGCTGCCGGAAGTCTTCGACGTGGCACAAGCGTACTGAGGCAATAAAGGTAGGTTACGATTAGAGGTCTTTTTCTCTTTTTTCGTTCTGGTTTCTGGTGGTCGTTGCAGATTGTCTTACAAAGCTTAGGAGCTCCCCAAGCGTTTCTTACCTAGGATCTCAATAAGCTGCCGGGAAGTCTTCGAGGTTAAAGCTGCATCAATTCAATCTATTTCCCCTTCTCGATCCATTCTTTCAACTTTCGGCTGCCCGTTGACGCCATAGATTTTAAAGGGTTTGAAAGCAGGTGAGTTATAAAAGGCGGACCTGGCGTCGAGTGAATATGTCCCCGGGTTGCGAAAGGTACACGTGAGGCTTACCGTACACTCTCACCCTTTGAGCAACTGAATGTAGATTGAGCTCTTTGTTTGTCGTTATGTTGCAGTTCTCGTGAACCACGCCTACGAGTTTGCTTGCCGAATCCATGGGTGAAAGTTCCCGTTTTTGACGGAAACAACTGCCACCGAATCGACATCAAGGACCGCCCGCGAGTGGACACAAGCGCGCCCCGAGTAGTCGACATCTCCCGCAGCTGGTTGCACGTCGAACTCTCCGGTCTCTCACCTCTCATTCTTGGAAGGAGAATCAAACTGCTGGACTCGGAGAGGGTCAAGCATAGTGGGTGGAATCGCGCCGTGGTCAGCCCCCGAAAACCGTGCTGGCGGAGAAGGTGCGATGAAAACGCTGTCCAATGTTTCAAAACCCTTGATGTGTTGTGCTCTGATAACATGACGCAGACAACTTCGCTCAAGCCATCGATAACTCCTTTCCGTTTCTCTAGTTGCCTGCGCTGCATGGTCTGGCAACATAAGAGGCCAAAATCCGGGTTTCCACGTAATCCACTGGATTAAAGAAAAGTGATCATGATTTCGTGGTGCAGCCGCCGGGTCGATTTAAGCAGAAACTTACATGTCAGAACTTTAGAAAATCCTCAACTTTGAGAAACGGAGCCCCTGCAATATCCCGGTTTCTTTCTTGGATTCAATGGTTCCTTTCCGTACTGGCGCCTGGCTTGAGCCAAGATCTTCAAAATCGTCGAATCAAAAGCCCAGATATTAAAATCGTCGTGGTAAGAATGCTGACGTCACCTGAGTACTTGGCTTCCGATTGCCGTTCCAAAATACGAAAACCTGAGTGTAGACAAGTTGGTTTCTATCTGCCGTGTTTCTGCCGTTCAGAAACTCCGGTCGACCTAGTCTGCCCAGTTGCCTCATCGCTCATGATTCCCTCATTGCTTCTCGTGAAAAGATTTAGGAATCTTCCGCCCAGGCCGGTACTACATCCGAAGCGAGAGAGACGACCGGATGGCGGGGGACGACCCGCGCAAGGGCGACTTCAAGGCCGTCGCCGAGCCTGCTCGAGGTGGACAATGTACAATGGAGCGATTTGAGGGCCGCTTACCCAGGCGAAGCTCAAGCAGCTGCATAAACTAGCGTACGGCGTGGCTGGGGACGGCAAGAAAGACGACTTTGTGAAGCGATTCGAGAGCCTGCGGCTGCACGCAGAGGGGGCCGAAGCAGAAGATTCGTCAGCGTGCACGAAGTTCTTCTCGGCGTTCAACGCGAGCACGGCCGGGGTTTCCAAGGGATTGTGTACGTGTGGTCTGTGCAACTTCTTCACGGTCAACCTGGAAGCGGAGATTCCGCAGGTGTGGCAAACCTTTAGAACCTTGCATCCCCCAAGCAGCTATCGAAATCGTTCCGACTCCCTCAAGCTCGCTCGAGCCTGTGTCGGGTCTCTCTTGAAAGGGTCGTGCATTCCAAGGGCGAAATATGGGTTGATTATGAAAGTGGACAGCCAAAAAATCAAAAGCGTGCTTCCCATTTGTCAGTGCCAAACTTCGACAGCGCTTCACAAATCTTGGAGGCAACCTTTATGAGTGAACTCTCTGCTCTAGTTTAACATTGTAAGTGCAGGCTCTTGCGGAACAGTGATATTGCGAGAAAGCATTCAACCGAGTTCTTGATACCTTTGACTTTGCAAGACTGCCGAGCTCTTGTGTTTGAAAGGGAGCCCGAAATTTCATTTTGCGTGCAATCTACAGGAGCTGCGGGAAAGCTTACTCAGGTCATGACCAATGGTTAGAAAGCCATCCAGGAAGCACCGTCAACCCTCCACGGTGACGAAACAGACTTTTTCTTCCTTTCTTTCTTCTTTTCGCAGATGAAACCTATATTCACGTTCAGCCTTCTTTTGCAAAACCCAAAAGACATGGTCCTTGATCAAAAGTGGGCCCCGAAGGCCCTGGTATACGATCACGTATGCCAGGCCCTTCTTGGCGCAAGGAAGGACCACCCGATCGCCTTCCCAACCGCCGGAAGAGTCCCTACTTCGGGAAAGGACCCGGACCGATTCGCACACCTAGCTGACGTCAGCCCCGACTTTCAAAGCACGGCTTCGCGTTCCGTTTCAAAGCCCACCGGAGAGCCCCCTAGCGGAACGCGGCTGGAAACACTCGCGGAGGGCTTTGCACCCGAGAGTATCCCCCGTAAGGCGGCAGCCATGTTAAGCGGGGCGACGGAAGACAAGATGACGTCAGCCACTATGGAGTTCGTAGCGGAGACGCTGGACGAAATCTTGAGAGGCGCCGTCAGCGCCAACAATCTGGAAACTTTCACCCCAGCGCATTCCCGCCGGCCGATTCTCACCTGTGGCCCCATTCTGGAAGACGGAACACTGCGGCCGCACTCATACTCCGGTTCCAAGCACGAAACCATCGGGGTCGTCACAGCATTGCATCTTTCGAACCACTCGCAGGCGTGCTAGGTGGAGCGGAACCCAGATGAGTTGGGCGGAGCGCTGGCCGGCTTCAACCTGGAGATTGTCGAGCAAGCGTGGAGCAGGGAAAGAGTGAAGTTAGCGTCAGACACCGGAATGGACTTCCCCTTGTTCCTCTTCTCCACCCGCCTGAGAACCAACGAGGCAAACGAGAAGATAAACAAAGAGAACGGGGCGATCCTTTTGAAAGCCGCCAAGCGCAGAGTGAACGGGGGAGGGGCGCTGAGCTTGGGGCTGGACGCTTACGGGCGATTCGTGGTCGAAAAAGGAGAGGCGGAAGAGCGCGGCGAGAGCGCCGCCCATGGAAAGGTCGGAGACGTGGTCGGTCGGCACTCTCCGGGAGTTTTGCGAGGGTTTCGAACGGCAGAGCCTTTGGACGGGCTATTGCTGACGAGAGTAGCGTCAGACGTTGCCGCGCCGGAAAACGCTGCAGCCCATACGCGGCGCGCATTGGTGCCTAGGGAGCAAGCGCCGGGCACTGTAAACGATGCCTCGTGGAGCGGCGGGCGAGCGACGGGTGCGCGAGCGGGTGATGAGCAGGCAACCGCTGAACGGACGATCGATGAGAGGGCACTGCCCGGGGAGCGGGCGACCGGGGAATGCGTGACTGGTGAGCGGGCGATTGGGGAGCGGACGACCGGTGAGAGGGCGACCGGGGAGCCTGCGACCGGGACGCGCGCGGACGCTGCGCGCGCGGTCGCTGCGTCGCTTGCCAGGGAACGGGTCCCAGGGGAGCAAGCGACCAGGGAGAGGGCGACCGGGGAGCGGGTGACCGGGTCGCGTGCAGACGATGCGTTTTCCGCTGGCGAGCGGGCAACCCGGGAGCAAGCGGCCACGGGATGGGCGATCGGGGATAAGGCGACCGGGCAGCAGGCAAGCGGTATGCAAGCGGACAGTGCATGGCCGGCCGCCGCGACCGAGTGCACGTGTCAGGTGACCAATCCTCCGGGTTCGTACCATCAGACAGCCTGGGGTTGAACAGGCAGTTCCGCTTCCCAACGAAGGACAAGCTGGGGCGGAATCGCCTCCCGTTGGGAGCATACAGGTTTCCGGGGCTTCGTGTCGCGACTGCCGGCGCAGAATCCACCGACTGGAGGGCGACGTACGTCGAGCGGAGAAGCTCCGGTCCGTCGAGATTCCACCGGGGACTGACCGAGAACACGTTGTCGTCCTACGGAGCGACCAGGGAGGACGTCAAACGCCCCGTTTACGGATCCCCGAGGAAAGCGTCGCCGCGCCGGAAACTTGGCAGAACCCCCGTTCGGCCCGTGAATTCCGCCGGGCTGCTTAGGTCTCGTCCAGCAAACGGAGTGGATGCACCTTCTTGGCGTGCGGCCGAGACGTGCCGGGTGCCGCGCTATGATCAGAGCTCCTACCGTCCGGGAGTTTTGGCGTCTCCTGTTCGAGCGATTGGGGCGAATGACAAAAGCCCCAGGTCACAAAGTTTCAACCGGGAGGCAGTCGCGGTCGGGGCAAGATCGTTGTCCCACGAAGCGCCCAGGATTGAGAGCCCAATGCTGGAAACCTGTAGCTTTGAGGCATGTTGAAACACAGCGTTGTTGGAAGTGATATTCAATCAATCAAGTTCACACAATGTATATGGA